TAATGCTGCTTTAGCAGCTGATGAGCTGACTTGCTAGTCAGGGATGTTTAAATGTCTACCATAGAAAAATAAAAAGTAAACATAAGAAATAACTACAGTATGTCAGTGGACAAAGTTACATGTATGCATTTTGTTGATATTTTTGTTCCTGTTTCAACACAATAGTGATCTAATGCACAAATCCAGTTCCAAAAAAATGAGTTTCAGAGTTTGGAAGACTCTGATGGGCTTGTAAGTAAATCCAACACCTTCTGCAGATGAACTGGAAAGCCAGCTGGAGGTCAGGTCACATCCAAACTGTGATGAAAAGACTCACTCATCATAGCAGCATATTAAAGCCTATGGCTTAATATCCAAAGCTACGACTTCATCATTGAACTAGAGAGTTGGTCTTAAAATTGTCACGTGCATGTGCGTGGCTGGCAATACCCTGTGACGGTACAATAAGTGATGGTTTAAGTGGTTCTCATAGTGTCAATGGTATATTAACTAAAAGGCCTGCCACCCCACCTCTGGCTGCCATGGACACTTATTGTCACTTTATTGATTTCCTCCTGTGCTCTCAACAACCTCACCCTCATCTGGGCTGCACTCTCTCTTTCTACACATCCTTCTTTTTCCTTTCTTCCCTCTTCTTGCACTCGCCTTTTACTAAACAGCCCTTTTGTCTCAAACTGCCTCTGCTTTCCGGAGCAAATATAACAAAACCATAAACAAAAACAACACAAACAAAGGCCTAAGGATCGAGGCAATCTGATACACACTGTCCTTTCCTGTCCTTCCTGACCCCTGTCTCCCCTCTCTCCATGCTCAGCTCACACTGAGTGAATGAATAGAGATCTGTGTTGAAGTCTGCACTGCTATGAATACTAAGATGTGGAGGGGAGCAAGAGGGGAGGAAGGCATGGTCTGGGGCGGGCACATGTGATTGGCCTTGTCCATCTCCAGCTGAACTCTGAACCCTACAGAAAGCCTGCCTACACATACAGTAAATGCACACTTGTGCTTTGGACATATATTGAGCAGTTAGCGTTAGTAACACAACCCCAGCTGTTGTTCAAAGGAATGTGTGGTTTGCAAAAACAACACAGTCCAAAAAAACATGCATCACCTAAAACTAATTTAAAGGATAAGGCCTGCTTTATTCCGTATATTCAATTTTACTGTCCTGAAATACCACAAAAATACTAGAATTTAGCAAGAAACTAGTCCCTGTCTTAGCAAGCCTGCTCGTTTTAACTGAGGACACTGTTTTAGCTGTTAAGTAAAAGGTTATTTTATTAACTTGGGGAAAAGACAACAAAGGGGCAACACAATATTGGCATATAGTAACCTTACGCAGACACAGAACAGCATTATTGTTTCTTTTTTAGCATGTTTAAGTTCACGTGGTAACTATAAGTCCAACATTCTGTCTTATTTTAGCTCATTTTACACTCCAACAACTCAAAAGAGAAATATTTCTACTGTGCTCTCAAGTTATATTTGTCTGCCATTTATAATAAACAAATAAAGCAAATAACACATGAAATATGGGTAATTTAGTTATAATAAAGAATCAGGATCTGTTTTTTAGGCTATTTTAAAACAGCCACGGGACGATTGTGGCTCAAGAGTTGGTAGTTTGGAAGGTTGCCGGTTCGAGCCCCTTTTCCAACAGTCTCGGTCGTCATGTCCTTGGGCAAGACACTTCACCCGTTGCCTACTGGTGGTGGTCAGAGGGCCCAGTGGCGCCAGTGTCCGACAGCCTTGCCTCTGTCAGTGCGCCCCAGGGTGGCTGTGGCTACAATGTAGCTTGCCATCACCAGTGTGTGAATGTGTGTGTGAATGTGTGGATGACTGAATGTAGTGTAAAGCGCTTTGGGGTCCATAGGGACTAAGTAAAGCGCTATACAAAATACAGGCCATTTTTTACATTGTAGCATGATGTATTTATATTGAAAACAGAATAGTGCCCAGCTTTGTAAATAATAAAATTCCTTTTAAATCTGCACTATTATATTTTTTTACAATCCCCATTCAAAACATAATGATAATTAGTGAATTGTATAAAATGTGGATAAAGACAAAAAGGCAACTATTTGTAAATCATTTAAGATCTACACTTTACTGAAAATAGTAAAAGACAGCATCAGAAAGTGAACCCAGCGACTTTTCCAATAGAGGATAATTTTACAAGCTCAGCTCTGAAAATGTTGAGATGCTGTGTAAAATCAAAATAACAACCCCATATTGTATTCACGATACAACACCGAAAACATATCCATTTTAAAAACTACTATTTTAAGAAAAAAAAAGAAGGATATTTTGAGTATTATGGCAGCAACAAGTCTTAAAAAAGTTAGGATAGAGGAAGGGATGTGTTTACAACTGTGTCACATCCATTCTTCTTTCAACAGTCACACTTTGGTGAGAGGAATGTTTTGCCGCTCTGATATAAGATTCTCCCTGTTCAGCAGTCCTGGGTCTTTCCAACCGTTTTCAGTTGGTGAAAAGTCTGTTCAGCACTCTGACACTTCTACTATGAAGACTTACTGTTGTGCAGTTTGATTTGGTTTACAATGTTTTTGCTATCATATACAAGGCTTTTGTTCAAATAGATCTCATCTGGATGGAAGCGTGTGTCACTTTAAAACCTGCTATACCTTTCAGTATGATGGTGCCTATACAGACATGCAAGTTGCAAATAGATACTAGTACACTGCCATACCAAACAATGCAGCACACAGAGTGCTGGTGATAGGCTGGATCGTCCCTCTTTAGTATGGAGAATGTTGTCAATGATTTCCAAAAAGAAATTTTAAATTTTAGTTTATCTGTCTGCAGAAGAGTTTTCTACTTTGCCTCAGTCCATTTTTAAGATGGCACAGTGAACCGTGTTCACAGTCAGTGGTTTCTGGAAGTGTTTCTGAGCCCATGCAGGGATTTCCATCACAGAATCATTTGTTTTTAATGCAACATCCTGTATTAATTTCTGGCATCTGGCATTAAATTGAATCTTTTGACAATAATATGTACTGTAGTTGATTTGGTATTCATAAAATTGTAGTCCAGGGAACATTATTCTGAATTTGTTCTACAATGTGTAGATGCAGCTTTTGCAGATTGGTGAACCTCTGCCCATTTTTCACTTCTGAGAAACTCTGACTCTCCAAGATGCTCTTTTCACACCCACTCATTTTGCAGACCTGTTGCCAGCCCAGTGTTCTACTGCGAATAAATTAGGGGAATCATTGAATTCTGTTCTTATTTACATTTTACACAGCATCCGAATCTTTTCACAATCACGTTTGTAAAATATTATTTCAAAGTTGTGCACTGTAGAAAACCCCGTGGTAGTGCATTTGTTTGGGCACTATTTTCTTCTGTGGATGAATTCGTAATATCAAGCATTGCTTTTACTTTCACTTTATAATTGCTGGACAACAGTTGAGATTTATTACAAAGATCTCCTCATGAGCGTTATTGATAAGAAAAACTTTAAATTTCAACAACACTTGGTCTGTAAGTATAGTCTTAGACATAAAGACATTTATTGTTTGCTATTTTTAAGCATCCATAGATGGGCACTTCTCTATAAACAAATAATAAATAAAGACATACTAAAGCAAACTGTAATAAAAACCAAAATGTCTGTTTACAACTTCATTTTCATCAAATGTCTCTTTAGAGGGTAGGAATACCAATGTTAGCTGAGCTAAAGCAAATATCCCTCCTGCTGACAGTAAGACTGATGGATTCCCACACTTTCAACATGACTTATTGGATGACCACTCAAGGTTAGGATCTCTTCCTCTGTGTCCTGCCCTTCAGCCCTCTCCTTCCCTCTGTCCTGTGTGCACAAGAATCCTTTGTTTTTGCGGAGATGAAAGGGACAAAAGCCACCATTGAAAAATACGACTGAGTGAGTGAACGAGAGAGCAAGTTAGACGGGGAGAAAGGAGAGGAGAACTGAGCACTGAAGTGTGTGTGTGTTGTGTGTCTTTGCGAATGTGTTTGATGGTGTGCGAGTATGCAGTGTTTGACACTGTGAGGGGGCCGAGATGGGGCGGGGTAAGAGAGAATAATTAGTTTTGAGGGGAGGATGGAGAGAAAGTTGGACATCTGATGACAAAAAGAGTGAAAGAGGAAGAGCGAGAGAGAGAGATGGATGGTGAGGGAAAAAGAGGAAGGAATAAGATGGAGGGAAGGTGGAGGAAGCAGATCGCTGACAAAAGAGCGTCATTAGTATTCCAGAGGCGAGAGTAATCCCTTCTACTCAGGGCCTCCATCCAGAGTCCACAATCATAAAGAACCCACAGCAGCCAGTACGCTGCACTGAAAAGAGTCTATACAGCACAGCTTGAATGGCTGCGACCACTGGCCACACCACAGCGGCCTGTGCACTGGACTGAAAGGACAATCTAAGCATCAACAATGTGCCAAGAGGGCATCTGCTCAGGCCAAACAAGACAAACTTTCTGGACCTCACACTACCATGCAAATGAGCTGCTGTTGTCTCATGGCTGAAGTTCAGACACTAAAACAGACTCGAGCTGTTCTTTTGATGTGAAAGCTTTATTTAAACTTTTGCAAAAGGCATATTTATAAAAGATGAATCTATCTATAGGGTTTGGGAATAATTAGTGGGAACCATGACTTGGTAGCATACATTAGTAAAGTTACAGTGTGTAGCATATTTCACTGCTACATGTCAGTAGATTGCAGTCAACTGAAGTCTCCCAATTCAAGTACATAATTCTAGCTATGGTTGCAGCTATGGGACGAAAATGTTTTATTCAGCCTAGAGAGACAAAACTAGCATTAAATTGGGGCATGATTGAAATACTGCTTGCACCGTATTCCACCCCAGAGTTTTTCCCTAACTGTGGAAGGCTGTCGGGCCACTGTTGTTGACCTCAGCTGTCAATGGCAGGTGAGAAGCATCTGCCATTATTTACCTGTGAAGGGAGTTCAGTATGGGTTGATTAGTCAGTGAAACTCACTTCTGATCAATGACAGATGCCCTCATAGCTGGACTGGCCATCGAGCATGGGTTTTGGGTTTTTTTGGGGTTTCGTTTTTTTCCCGTAACGGTATGAACAATGAAAGGTGGTGGATTGGCCAGATGCGGGGAGATGTGTAAAAATAACTCAATTGTTTGGTGGTGGCTATTGCGGAGCTTCCACAGATTCAGTAACATTAGCAAGTGGTGGAGGCGAGCAGATGCAACACGCTGGCAGGTGGATGACGGAAAGGCAGAAGGAGCAGAGACCCGAGGTGGTGAACTGAACTTCAGGTAAGAAGTTATGACCTGCAGTCTATCTGGGTCAGATATAAACCAAGTTTAGGTGCAGTTTATTTTCGTTATGCTGACTTTTTACAGTCAGTTACAATAACTCGTACTAGCTAGCATGACAGAGTTTCTATACAGCTGGGCGGGTGCTATGATGTTACTGATAGTGAACTTGTTTTATCTTATTTTATTTATAAGGTTAGTTATTAGAGTTGTCAACCATCCTGTAAAAAATGGAATCATCTGGTATTCAGAGAAAATATTACGCGTTTCGTGTTGAGGTGAAAAGGAACACAGTTCGTCCTGGACTTCAGCTACAATGAAAAAGACACAAAGCTGGAGTTATTCTGTGTCTTTGCTGCACAGCTGCCTCTTCTTCTCTCATTCTCCCCCCTCCCTCTCCTGTTTCTACTTCAATCATGAAACTGATCAATGATCAGCTGATCAGCTTTTCTCTCTTGTTTGTTTGTCGCCCACTTCGCGCCAGAAAGAGGAAACCAGCGGATGTCACGCTAAACAACAGCAGCATCATGTCTCACCTCTAGTCTCAGGCTCAGTCTAGTCAGGTTTTCACCATGTGTTGTAGATAGTTCAGGAGGTTAACTCGACCAATCAGTCTACTTTTGGGTTACTGTTTAGAATACCAGAATAGGGAGGATGGTGTAGGTTTAAGTTTTTTAGACTGATACATATATACCAACAAGACAGTGTACAATGGAGACAGTGTACATCACTGTGACAACAGCGTTTGTTTTCATTCAAAGGATTTATGGTTTTTCCTATAATACTTGGTGGGCCGGTCTCTAGTCAAAATACCTGGGCTGATTTTTTGTCCCAGTCCAGCCCTGGATGCTAAGATGAGTTGCTGAGTATGTGCTGAACTGTCGGTAATTTTTACTGTTTTGTTTCCGCTGTTAGCTGCTGTTAGCCTTTATTAGCTGCCGTTTGCCAGCGTTAGCTATCTTTGACACGTTGGACACGGATGCTTAGCAAATAAATTCTCGTATGATTTGATAATGTAATCAAACACTTTATCAGAGGCAAAGTAGGATTTTAAGGACACTTGAGCCTAGCTTTCACTAACATAGCATTAGCTTATAACCTGCTGTTGGTGTTTAGCTGGCTTATTGGCAGCTGTCTGGAGACAGGAAGGTTGAATGTGTGATAATTATTAT